CTTAATGTGCTTTTGGTCTTACCTGCCTTCACCTCAGCACTGCCTATGCAGTCCCTTTCTTTCCTTCACCTCAGCACTGCCTCCTGCAGTCCCTTTCCTTCCTCCTCTGCCTCTGGGCAAGTTCTTTTTTCTTGTCTCTGTGGCTCCTTTGGCGACTCGGTTACGTCTGGTTTGCCTTTTTTAAGCGTTCTACTCATCTTGAGTTGTCCATCTTTTCCTACCCTGTATTGTCTGCAATGGCACGTTCAAATTTATTTTCTCTCTTCCTCAGGATGTTTTAATTCTTGGGATTATTTTATTCTCCTTGCTACATGTTGTTTGCTTTAAGTCCATTCCTTCTGGACGCCACTACTGCTGTGTGTACTTTACATGGGGTCCGTCCATGGTTATGCTACAGCTGCAGAACGACATTGTCTTATTTCTTTCTATTCCAAGCATCCTAGCCTGTATGGCCCCCCCCTGGGGACTTTTGGGTGTTGGTCTTGTCTCCCAATCTTGTGTGTACAGACTGTAGTCATTTAGTGGGCCAGCCAGAGGCTTAGGGCCCGCGCAGGAATATCCCTGCAAAAAAATAAAAAAAATAAAAAAATCATTGGGTAGTTTTCTTTTGTTTTTCTAGGCACTGGTTTTGGTCCCATTGATTTTGCCTTGTATGCTCATACGGCTCCCAAGCTTCCGGCCCTCGATATCCTGTCCATCTTATGGTTGTTTTAGCTATGGGGTTCTTTCTACAGGGTTGGGGAGGAGGGGTGGGGGAATACTAGCTTAAATGCAATATTTTAATTTTGTTAATGGACAACTATTGACACATTTCCTTCACATGGTGTATCTTTCCTGCCGGCAAATGTGGTAGGAACGGCTTCCCACAGTTTTGTTTCTGGGTGCCCTAGGGTCCCTCGGATTTGTCTTTTCAGAGGTTTTCTTCCTCTCAGATTCCTCTAGGGAGTTTGGAAGGCCCTTGGTGCATGCTTCCAGTAAGACCTGGTTTTGCCTCTGTGTTGGATCCAGTTTTATATACATTCAGTTCCTCTTGCCTTGCTAGGGGGCAATTCGAGGTTCCAATGCCTTCTTGGCAGACGGCCTGCCTCGTTGGCTGGTTGGTGTGGGCTCCTTCCTGATCTGCTTGTCTGCTGACCAGGGATCTGGTTCTTTCCCAGCTTGCTGCATTCAAGTTCCTGGTAATTTGGTAGAAGTCCCAGTTGGTTCCATCTCAGGTTCGAACTTGGCTGGGCCTTGTGTGGGATTCTTGTACTGCATCCATCTCTCTTCCTCCTGCAGCGTTGCTCTGGTTGAGGTCCCGCTTTCAACTCCTTTTGAGCGGGGGGGACCCCAGGTCATTCGGCAGATACTCGTGCAGTTGTGAAGGAGCCTGACATTTGCCATGCTGGTTTCCTAGCCTGGCAGGGTTTGGCTTCAAAGGCTGTTCTGGTATCTTCGGGGCAGCCCCTTTCGCCCCTCTGATGACCGCTGGGTTTGCACCCCAGGGTCTTTGTCATTTGCTGAGTCACCAGCTTCCTCTTTGGGGTTTTGGGGTTCAGTGGCAAGGCGCTTTTACATTCCAGCGCTTGATGTGCTCACAGATGCCTGGGTTGGTGGGCTCCGTCCTATGGTTGGGCTCACGGTGGGGGAATTTGCAGTGGATTCAGCTTCCTCGAGGCACCATGATTTAGCTCCACTTGGACTACTCCCCTGAGGTTCATTGTCACCAGCAGGATGGGGGGGGGGGCGTCCCTGCAGTCCATGTCTCTTTGGGGCTGTTTGCTTTGGGTAGCTCTTCTGCCAAGTCCTCGGGGTTTAACTCTCCATGCTGTTCATATTCAGGGAATGTCCACCATAATGGCAGACAGCCTATCACACTTCATTCCTCTTCCACGGAGTGGACAGTTGATTCCACCTCCTTCCTTTGGCTTTGTGTGACGTACGGGCACCAGAAGGTGGACCTCTTCATGTCCACGTCTTCCATTATACATGGTGCCATTCCCCGACTGCGAGGCTTTTGCAGTAGATGCTTTCTGGCAGTTCTGGTCGAGGTGGGTGTTCTTATCCCTTTATTTCCTGGTCCAGCTGTTGCTTTGGGTTCTGGTTTTTTATTGTTGCCGCCGAAGGTGGCTAGTTTATTGTGCACCCCATACTCATCCTGTGAGCGGTAGTGCAAAAGCATTACAGAGGGCACAAAAGGTCTTTATCAGACCTCATCTTAGATTATTACATAAACAATTTCATCTGTCCTTCACACCTTATAGTTACAATGTCAACTAGTTACAGAGAAAGTGCTATTTCAAGAGCTATATATTTATAGTAAGTCATGATACATTAATGGTAGGTCTTATCGCTAATAAATAATAGTTTGACCAATTACAGAGTCATTCGGGTTCTGGCTCGCCTTGAATCCTATCTGGGGAGAGAGCTTCTCCTGGCAACATTGTGGCCGGCCCAACCTTGGTTTCAGGTGCTGCTTGCTCGATGTCCAAACCTGGGAGTTTTTATCCAGCTCTACCTCTTTCAGCAGGTCGGGCCTGTTAGGTACCTCGCTGGTTCGACTTACTCTTCCGTTCTTCACGTCTAGTTTTTCTGACGCAGGTGTATCGCCTCTTGTATGGTGATCGTGTTGTTTCTCTGATGGTGTCCCACCTGCTGTCTTCGTCTTGGCAACAGTATGATGTCTCCTGGTGGTCTTTCTGCCCTTTCTTTTCCCATAGGAGGGTGTTGTCTGTGTCTGTTAAGGATGTTTGGTCCATTTTTCTTAGTTTTTCTGGACTGGCGTTTCATACCGCATACTATCGCTTATTGTGTGGCGTTGGTGGAGCTACTCCAGCTTGTGGTTGGAGTGGATGTCATTTCTGCTCTGTCTAGTAAGCTCTCCGGTGCGTTTTTAAGCTCCAGCCTGCTCGTGCGCTGCTTGAGCAGTCTTGGTCTTTGGACCAGGTGCTTTCTTTTTTTTTCTCCCCTCGGTTTTTGGTGGCCCCTTTGGTTCAGGATTGTTTATGGAAGCCTTGTTTTGTTGGCTTTGAGCTGGGGGGGGTCATGTTGCAGGGCTTTTATGTTTTTCTCCGGTGCAAGGGTTTCTGCACCTTTTGGTCATGGTGGTCGGTTTGTTAGTTTGCAGCCTTCTCCTTCTTTTCTGGCGAGGAATAAGACAGCTGGCTTCCAGGGGAGTCCCTTGGCTGTTGATGCTTGTTTGGTTCGGCCGGGGTACCTCACCTTTTGTGTCTGGTTGCGGCTTTACATCGCTACCTGCAGGCCACTCGTTCAGTAACAGTGGATGCGCTCTGGGTAGATCCGGTTTCCCTGGTTCCAGGGCTCGTGTTTCTCAGGTTGTCCTCAGGGTTATCAAGCCTAGCCAGCCTGCGGTCTACTTTCGTGCCCATGATGTGCGGACATATGCTGCTAACGCTGCTGTATTTGGGAAGACGTAATTTAACATTCGGGCTCGAGGGTTTTGGAGATTGAACAGGGTCATGGCCGCCAGATGTCTTGTCAACGCTCCGGGCCCTCTGCGGCCTTGTGTTACTTTGGGGCATCTGTCTCAGCCTGTTGTCTCTTCTTCAGCTTGAAACCTGCAGTGCTGCCACCTCTCGGGTAGTTCTCTCTTTTTACTTCTCTGTGGGTAGTTTGCTTCAGGGAGCCGACGGGGCTCTCCTCAGAAAACCAGCATTGAATGTAATGAAATGCCATTTTCTGAGTGAGCTCCGGAGGCTCCCTGACACCCTCCCTTCCTCCCTCCCTCCCTCCCTTCGGTAGGAGGTTTTCATCATTCTGCGAGCTGGAGTTGTCGACTGCCGGCTCGCCTGAGTGGGCTCCCCCCCTTCCCCCTTTCGAGTGATGGTGACGGGGGAAAGGGGGAAGTGCGCTAGCGAGCGGGCGCGCTAGTTAGATGACAGTTTGCTTGTCTGTTTGGTTTTCTTTTTGGAGGCGTTCTTTGGCACTGTTCGGATGTCGGTTGCAATTTTCACCAGCAGAGGGTTTGTATTCTTTCACCTATCTTACCTGGGTGCTTTTCCCGGTCGGTGACAGACATGACATACTCTAAATATAGAGTTCTTATATGGCCATTGCTCCCTGTGCCTCTCTGAGTGGACAAGGTTCTGGCTCTGGTCTAAAGGAGGCATAAAAGAACTCCCATAACTGATGACCCCAAACTAGTATTGCACATGTCAGTTAGATAGCTTCAGGGAGCCTCACAGGCTCACCCATAAAATGGTGTTTCATTACATTCAACTCTGGTTTTATCAGTGTTCAGCTTCCGTATCAAGGTGCATGTTTACCGAGGCATCGTAATGGTTTGTTGGTAAACAATAGGCCAACTTTACTACCATGTTTTGCATTTATAATGATGCAGTATGACAGGAAAAGTTTAAACATTGCATTACTCATAACAGCATCCAAATGCATTTTTCTACACACACATTTTTATAAAATGTTCTTCTTGTTCTCAGATATGATAAATCATGGCTTTATTAAAAAAAAAAAAATAAAAAAATGGTTGCATATGACCTTTAAAATGTATGGCCAAAATCTTGTTGAACAGGAAACTTTACTGTATATAGAGCTGAAAACTCATCAAAGATTTGTTAAATTATAAATATAGGTCCAGCATAAGATTGACTTAATATAAATTATTAAAGGTTTAGGAAAAGATCTAGTGACATTTTCCAATGCGGGCATATGTTAACCAAGAATAAAAATATTTTATGTTTACAGTATCATAGATTCTATTAGATTTCCAGATAATTGTGAAGTGTATATATAAAGATGCTTAGTATGTTAAGTTGATATATAATAGTATCATGAAACATACAGAAACAGATAATTTTCACCTTTTTTATTGCTTTATTAAGAATAAGTCATTTTGTATTTTTATTAATATATACAGTATATATATAATAAGTACAGTACTTATAAAATAAAACTTACATTTTCATTGCATACACAAGTTAAGATTGATTACGATTGCTTGAAGGTAAAGTTCTCTTGAGATATTTCTGATATATTTGTTGCAGGGAATGACTGTAGACAACAGCAGCACAACGGTGGACACACACCTTGCCAACTCCGGATTCAATCTTTTCGGACAACCTCTGTCTCCTAGTGGGTCCCACCCAGCTAGTCCAGTAAGTGAGAGTACTCTTGTCATTAGAGAGTACCTCTCTAATCACTGCTTAGTAGGAAATACAGTACGGGTATTGTCATAGACTCGAGGGTTTGGATCACAACTGTACTTAGACTTTAGGCCTCGGCACATTTTGAATGTAATGATGAGAGTGACGGCCTCTTTACTGCTCATTTATGTAGCATTGTATGTTATCAAGTTTCTAACATTTTGTGATATATACCATATAAAGGCCTGCATGAACTTACTATTAACACCTAATTTTGCAGAATATTTCAAAGTTTAAATTAAAAAAAATTATCATTGACTTCATCGAAAAGTTTTTAATATAGCATTGCATAAATTTTAATTTATTGCAATATTACATATTTGAGACTTAGAAAGGTAAGCATAAAATTTGTTGTTTAGTCTGTCGTCCCCATTGTGCTTAACTGTATAGATGTAGTGCACCTGTTTCCTAATATATAAAGAGCAGCTCACTTTAATATCTGTCAAGCCATAGGAGAAGAAAAGTTTCAAGAAAAAGATTAATTTAAGCTTAAATGATTATCTTATCCATTGCTAAATGTAGGTGGCTTGACAGATTGCAATTGTCTTATTGAATCCCAATTGACATATGCATCCTGACCCATTAAACAGTTACTTGTAGCTAATTAACATATTGGCCTAGTATTAGTGCATTATGTTGTATTGCTCATTTTTTATTTTTGATATTTTATTATAGATGTTTGAAGATAAATTGCTGTTGCTTGTTGTTGTTCAATATATTGTCTATTTCTGTGGGGAGCCCCGTCGGGTTCCCTGAAGCTATCTATAATTATGTGGTGCTGTACTACTGCTCCACAGCCACGTCAGGAGGAAAACAGCAGTGAAGGAACAGGTGATGAAACTGAGAAAAGAGGAGAATAGATACAAAGCAATTGATAAGGAGGTGTGTGTGAAGAACTCAACAAGAGATTCCAGGTCTTAACAATAGAACAAGGAGAAGCCCCTGTATTAAGAGAAGAGGTGGTAAACCAAGCAACCTTGGAGGAATTTGAGCTCACCAGTGATGAGGTCAAAAGAAATCTGTTGGAGCTGAATGTGACAAAGGCTATTGGGTCTGACAATATCTCACCATGGATACTAAAAGAGGGTGCAGAAGGACTGAGTGTGCTTAGTGCACTCTATGGTGTATAACAGGTCACTGGAAACCGGAGACCTACAGGAAAGCTGGAAGACAGCTAATGTTGTTCCAGTATACAAAAAGGGTGACAGACAAGAGGCACTGAACTACAGGCCAGTTTCTCTAACTTGTATACCACGTAAGGTGATGGAGAAGATCATGAGGAAAAGGCTCGTAGAAGAATATTTGGAGGGAAGGAGCTTTGTAACACACCACCAGCATGGATTTAATAATTGTAAATCGTGCCTCACAGGCTTAATAGAATTCTTTGACCAGGCGACAAAAATTAGGCAAGAAGAGAAGGGTGGACAGACTGCATTTTCTTGGTCTGTCAGAAAGCCTTTGACACAGTACCCCATAAAAGGCTGTTACAAAAGTTGGAGAAACAGGCAGGAGTAAAAGGTAAGGGGCTGCAGTGGATAAGGGAGGTATCTAAGCAACAGGAAACAGCAAGTAACTATAAGGGGGGAGACATCAGAGTGACGAGATGTTGCCAGCGGAGTCCCGTTTAGTCCAGTTTCGTTTAGACCGATGATGTTCACAATCCAGGCCAACATGGATTTAGAGCAGGAAGATCATGCCTCTTGCAGTTTCATGACCACTATGACAAAATCACTGAGGCATTAGAAGAAAAACAGAATGCAAATGTGGTACAGTATACACAGACTTCACAAAGGCATTTGATAAATGTGAAAATAAAGTGATAGCACACAAAATGAGGTCAATGGGAATAACTGGTAAAATAGGACAGTGAATATTCAATTATCTGTCGAACAGAACACAAAAAGTAGCACTCAACCAAATAAAATTGAGTCCAAGCACAGTTGAAAGCTCTGTTTCCAGGGCATGGTCCTTACACCACTGCTTTTCCTTATTTTGCAGCCTGTCCTCCAAAAGTGGGGAGGTAGATGTAACAACACAAGTAAGTGCAATTATGTACTATTCATAGCAGTCAGGCATTGTACTTGCTTGCACTTAGTATTAAACCGTACTGTCAAATATATTGTGAATATTTGAGTTTACCTGAAAAGCTGAATAGAAACCACGACCTAACCTAACCTTGTTAGTGTTTGAAGATAAGCATTTTATTGCTTCTTAATTACAATTAGTACTTAACCTATAGCTATATTGATATTACAGTTTTATAAAACTAATAAAACAAAACTAAAATATTTCAATAAATTGTAAAGTAACTCAGGATATTTTCAAATTTTGTATAAAATCTCTATTTTTAATCAAACTGAAAAAGAAATTCCTGATATTTAAAACTTGTGTATAGCAAATTGAACTTGAAAACTTCATCATAAAATTCTGAATGTCTTAACAGAAAACGAGGAGAATAAATGGGGAGGTAAATGTAACAGCCTCATAAGTGCAATTATGTACTATGTATGACATTAAGGAAATGTACTTATTACATTTAGTATTAAACCGTACTGTCAATTCAGTGGATGGGTTGTATTTTCATATCATATACATAGACACAAATCAAGTCATAGCTTCATATCTCTTCTGCAGATCACACAAAAATCAGCATGGAAATTACTTCTGTTGAAGACATTTAAAAACTGCAAGCAGTTATTAATAAAGTTTTTGACTGGGGAGCAGAAAATAACATAATGTTTAACAGTGATAAATTCCAGGTACTCGGGTATGGTAAAAATGAAGACTTAAGCAAAATACAGGGTACAAAACACAATCAAATCTGCCCATCGTAGGAAAGCAGCATGTAAAGGATTTGGGAATAAGGATGTCTGTGACTTAACATTTAGGGAGCATAACCAAGCAAATATAGCATCAGCCAGAAAAATGATAGGATGGATTACGAGAACCTTCAAATCCATGGATCCCATCACAATGGTTGTACTATTCAAATTACTTCTGCTGTCCTGTATTGAGTACTGCTCAATACTCACTTTTCCCCTCAGAGCAGGAGAAATTACTGAAATAGAGGGAATACAGAGACCATAATGTATTGGGATCATCTCAAAGCCCTCCAAATGTACTCCCTAGAAACGAGATGAGAGAGATATCAAATAATACACACATGGAAAATACTGGAGGGCCAGCTCCCAAATCTACACAGTAAAATAACAACATACTGGAGTGAACAACATTGAAGGAAATACAGAATGGAACCAGTGAAGAGCAGAGGTGCCATAAGCACACTCAGAGAACACCATAAACATCAGAGGTCCATGGTTGTTCAGCATCCTCCCAGTGGTGATAAGAAATATTGCCAGAACAAACGTGGATGTCTTCAAGAGAAAACTGGATAATTTTCTTTAAGAAGTGCCAGACCAACCAGGCTGGGCTGTGGGGGATATGTCGCCTTTGGGCCACTCCAAGCAACAGCCTGTTGAACCGTGCTTTCACAAGTCAAGCCTGCCCCTGGGCCGGGCTTGGAGTGTAGAAGAACTCCCAGAACCTCATCCAGGTACAATTCAGGTAATCCTTCTTTCCTGGCGAAGAATGAGATGGCGAGCTTTTCGGAGGGGCCCTTTGATTGTCAATGCTTGGTTTGTTTGATCCGAGGTGCATCATGTGTTGTTTCCGTTGGCTGCTTTGGGCCACTACCTGCTGGCCACCAGTTCTGTGTCGGTGAACACATTGTGGTTGGATCCGGTTTTCCTGGTTTCCTGTTCCAGGGTTTGTGTATCACAGGTCATCCGCAGTGTCATAAAGTCCAGCCAGCCTGCAGTCTACCCTCGTGCCCGTGATGAGAGGAAGTTTGCCGCTCTCTCGGCTGTGTTTGGAAACATGTCTTAGGACGATAATTGGGCATGGGGGGGGGGTTGGAGGTCTAACAGGCTTGGCCGCCTGTTATTCATATCTGGTGAATATTCCTGGCCCTCTGCGGCCCTGTGTTGCTTTGGGGTGTCTGTCATGACCAAATGTCTTTCCTCGGATTAATACCTGTGGTGCTGCCACCTCCCTGGTAAGTCCCTGTATATTCTTCTTTGTGGGTATTTAGCCTCAGGAAGCCAACGGGGCTCCCCACAGAAAACCAACATTGAATGTAATGAATTGCCAGTTTCTGGGTGAGCCTTGGAGGCTCCCTGACTTCCTCCCTCAGGTCAGTGGTTTTTAGCATTTAAGAACTGATCGGTGGCCCAGCTGACCTGGGCCAGCTCCCCCGGGCCACCTCCTCTGGGCCAGCTTCCCCTGCCCCCACGGGGGAGGTGGAGCTGGTGGCAGTAACGACTGTGGGGGGGGGGGGTAGTTGGACAAACTTTTGGTTGTTTTTCTTTGTGAGTGAGTTCTTTTGGTATTTGCAGAATGTAGGTCACAATTTCCAATCAGGCAATGGTCTGTTTTGATTTGCCAGCCCTTTCTGTGTGCTTCCCTGATCGATGGCAAGATGACATACTGTAAATGTAAAGTGTTCATGGGCCATTTCTCCCTGTGCCTCTCTGAGGGAAAGAGGAGGGGGCCAGGTTCTTGCTCGTGGTCCCCGGTAGGCTACAAGAACTTCGCGACTAATGACTCCAAGTAGTATGGCACTATATCAGTATAGATAGCTTCAGGGAGCCTCCGGGCCTCGCCCAGAAACTGGCATTTCATTACATTCAACGCTGGTTTTATTTGTTCTACTGAATTTCATTTGAATTCTTGGCAGAGCCCAGTGTACAAGTTAAAAGGAATGCTTCTCTTTTAAATCAGTACATTAAGGAATACATCCTTTGATTTGTAACCTGGCTTAAAATGCTAATTAATAAACAAGTATATTTCACCACATATTTTTTGTATTATTCATTGCCTTGCCATTATGGTCATGATAGAGGCTGTTATTTGTAATGCTAAACTTATAGCTCAAAGGATGTCAGTATTTTATTATTGATCAGGTTATTTATTTGCTGAAAGGCATTGCTGAAACCAATAAGTAGAGACACATGCTTCTTTTGAACATAGGTTTTTATTTTTGAAGACCAAAAACCAAGTCACAAGATCACTGTTGCTCTGAATGTGAGCTGCCAGCCAAGGCTCTTGTTTCATGCCAGGTTTATATTCAGTAGTTGACACTTATTTTAACTGTCACATTATCATGTATTGCAAATCTTCGTAAAATGTTAATATAATGGCAGCTGGCAGGCAGCATAGATAAGCATGGTTGCATGAGTAGAGATGTAATGCTTGTGATGGATGTATTGTTACAGAACCACCTCTCCTTCATGGATTATAGAAATCCTGTTAGTCCTCAGCTCAGTCCAAGAAGTTCACCTGGACCTTGTCATTCTCTTCATGTAAGTATAATATGAATAATATTGTTTATCTATTGTAAATTACAGATATGTAAATCTTGATATTAATAAATAATTGCAACACTAGTTTTTCTAGAGGAGCCTCTTTGTGGCTCCCTGAAGCTATCTTGCTGAGATGACTTCCCACTACTCAGTTGACCAGGAACCAGAACCTGGTCCCCTCACAAAAGCACAAGGAGCACGGGATTGTTATGATCACCCTCACCGATAAAACATCCGTAAAATAAGCAAAGCAATACAGACAACGTCATGGTTCATTGAAAATGAAGCACCAAAAACAGCTAAATGACTCTACAAATCATTCATTCAGACCCACATGATTCACTCAAAACAAGCTCCAACGACTTAAGTGAATGGCTTGGTTCTTTCAACAGCATCTACTGCTCCCCAGCCTCTTGGCCAGTTTTTTTTTTTTTTGTAGTGGAGGTTGGGGATGCCCCCTCCTATTTGATGACAACCTCTCTGTATGTGACCCTCACCAGCACTGTGGGGGGGGGGGTCCTTCTTGCTTGTTTCTAACAGTTCCTGTGCCATGGTTTGTGGGGTTTTCTGATTGTTTTCCTGGTTTTCTGGTGGTGTATTCCCCCCCCCCCCCTCTGTTTTGGTTTGGTACATAAGGGTGGTGGCCCTTTCCTTGGCCCTGTGTAGTTGTCGTCCTGTGGATTTGTAGCCTCTTTGGTCTGTGCACGTTCATACCCTAACAAGTCTTCCATGTGACTGCTTCGCTTGGGTTCATCTATTTTTGCAGGCTGAGTCCTGGCTAGTGTCCCTGGATGTTGTGGATGTGTTGTGGCACTTTTCCACTTCCCCAGTAGTTCAGGGCCTGTTTTTTTTTTTTTGGTTGGGGTGGGTTTGTGTTTTGGTTTATTTCACTGTCTGATTTGGGTTCCCAGCCAGTCTGTGTTCTGTCAAGCCAGAGTTCTGTTTCTTTCATGGCTTGTCAGGTTTGGGCTCTTGGTGAGCTGATGGAAGTCCCAGTTGGTTCTTATCTGGGTTTTGACCTGGTTGGCTCTTCTTTCTCGGCCTCCAGTGGTTCTGCTCCACCTGCATCAGCTATGCCATCTGATGTTGGTTCAGCTCCAGGTAACTCATTGCTTGGTCAAGAGTTTGTGTGGGTACTTGAATTTTGCCAGCTTGGTTTAGCTCCAAGTGCTGTACAAGTTGGATGCCTTGGCTTTGGGTTGGGGGTTTCAAGCCCTTTGCTCACCAAGCCTTCCATGATCGTTGTTCATATTCACTCCTGATGGTCCAAAGCATGGTATGCGCATTTGTGGTAGTTGGCGGGCCCTTCAGAGGTTTCATTTTCCTCCGGTCTCCATTTTCTAGCCCTATTCCAACTGCTCCCTGGTGGTTCATTTGCTGAACCACAGGGGGTCGCTTCGATCCTTCCTTTGGAGCTGGACTCATTGTGTCGCTCAGCTTCTGACCTCTCGGGGTTTGGGTTTCTGCACAGTACACGGGGGAGCTGTGTGAAGCATTCTTGCTGTTAGTTTATTGCTTTTTCTGTCCCATTTCCACAGAGTAGACTGTCAATGCTACATCCTTCTGTTGGCTTTGCGAAATGTGTGGTATCCCGAGGAGATCCTATTTGCATTGGCATAGAACGGGCCTTTCTGTCGATGTGGTTACATTCCCTGATCACATGGCCCTCATGGTGGATGCCTTTCGGCTGGACTACTCATGGGCGGGATTTCATCTCTCTTTTCTTCCCTGGTTCAGTTGTTGCTCCAGGTGTTGTCCTGGTTGGAGGCATACTTGGGCAATGGCATCCTTCATGCTCCTTGGTGGCTGCCTCAGCCATGGTTTCCAGCTCTTCTGGCCCGGTGCCCAAACCAAGGCATTTTCATGCAGCTTTGTCTTTTTCAACAGATCGACCTGGTGACATATTTTGCTGATTTGACCTTCTCTGCCAAGCTGCATATCTGCAGCTTCTGATGCAAATTTTCAACCATATATATAAGGCACAGATGGTTGAATCATTGGTATTCCACCTGCATTTTTCCTCATGCCAACAGTGTGAAGTTTCCTGGTGTTCCTTTTGCCTCTTTCTCTCTCTTTGTCATGTTTCTTGTAATTACCTAAGTGTAGTTACAAGATGAGAGCTATGCTCATAATGTCCGGTCTTTCCAGTACTCTGTCAAATAATGCTTTGAAGCTACTGACAGTTTTAACCTCCTCCCACCTTCTCACTTAGCTTGTTCCAACCGTCTACCACTCTGTTTGCAAAAGAAAACTGCCTAATATTTTTTCAGCACCTTTGTTTCCTTAGCTTGATTCTGTGTCCTCTTGTTCCTGATGTTGCTGGTTTCAAGAATTCAGCCTTGTCAATTTGGTTGATTCCTGTTAGTATTTTGTAAGTGGTGATCATATCTTCTCTTTTTCTACTATCTTCTAGTTTTTAGCATGGTTAACACCTCTAGTCTTAACCATGGCAACATGGTTAGTTAACTTTAGGAAACCATCAAGATGCTTCCCCAGAAAAACAGTGTTGAATGTAATAAAATGCCTCTTTATGTTAGTCTTGGTGGCTCACTGATTGCCTCCCCTCTCTCTGCTAAATGCATTGGTTCATGGTTTATCAGCTTCGAACTGACTCATTGCTGGGTCTGGAGTTCCCAGGGTGCCACCTGTTGGCAGTCATTCATATTGCATGCTTTGAGCTAGTTTCAAGTGAATCATTTGAGTTTGAATGAATCACTTGCAGAGTCATTTGGCTGTTTTCGTGCCTTGTTTTCTGTGAACTTTGCAGTTGCCTGCATTGATTTGCTTACTCTTAAAGTTTTCTCAAGTGATGCTGATCATCACAGTCCCTTACTCCCTGTGCATCTAAGAAGGGGAGCCAGGTTCTGGGTCTGACCCTCTGTATTTTAAACAGAAGTCTTATGGTTGATGCGACCAAGTACAGTAGTGAGAAGCCATCTCAGCAAGATAAGCCCTCGGTGACTTCCTGAAGCTATCAGAAAGAGGAGTTTCATTACATTCTACATTGGAATTTGTGTCTGCCTCATTATATTACATAAGCATTTGTGTTCATTCTCTATTTAGTACATCTATGATCAGCATGAAAAAATTAATATTAACACTTGTAGCATTCGAGTACCCATTAATGTATTTGCCCAATGCTAAGGTGCATTTTTTTTGTGCTCAAATAATTACAGTTTATTGGGGCATCTTAACTTTAACCCCTCAACTGCGCCAGCCAACAAATGTCGTTTTGAGAGTTGTCCGTTTTTTGTTTTTTAATTGGGCTATATTTTAATGTTAAATATTTTCATTACTCTTTGTGTTTTAAAATGAAAATACTTTAGTTAGGATACATTTTGACATTAACTTAACCTGAACATCTATAAAAACAACAAAAATATGTCCTTAACAATTGCATTTTTTTGCCAAAAACAGGTGCGCAGTGCAGGGGTTAATGGGGGTATGATCACTCGCTTTAGTGTCATCTGCTATTTTGTGGTACACTGTAATCAGCATCATACATTTTTAGCATCATTCACTCTAAAATTTAAAAAAAACTTCACTTTTGTAATTTTTTGATATCATGCAAATCCTCTGAAATATGTGTGCATAGTGTGGTGCAGCTTACGAATGCTGCACCCAATATGCTTATATTATACACTAAGGTGAGTGATATACCCAATATGCTTATATTGGGTATAAAGCAACAACCAGAAGTCATTTTAGATGACAACAAACCTTCATAGTTCCAAACATTTTCATAATTCAATGTGTTTTTCTCAACTTTGACATAACATTTTGAACTGAAATTATTTGCAATAATATATTTAAGATTGTAATAAATCAGCAATAGCAGAAATGTATTGGAACAGTTGTCAATAAAACCAAGGATATTAGTATTGAGAGTGTTTTAGTGTTGAAAAGTGCAATAATTTAAAAAAAAAAGCTTGATTCTACATAAAATTAGTGGTTTCCTTGAAGATTTACAGCCTGCATACTAGTAAGTTTCCTGGTTCACTGCTTCTGTTGGGACTTTAATGGCTCATCCCCACATTCCTTGTTGGACTGGAGATAGCCTGTGTTTTCTTCCTGGCTGTGGGTTTGTCTATTGGTATTCTCCATGTTAGATTCTTTGTGGTCACCATTTGAGTCAGAGTTTCGGATTTTAACCCTAGAAGCTTAACGTCATCAGCAACATATTCATATAGGTCTGTATTTCTACTGGTAGATCATTTATATAGACTATGAACATTACTGATGCACCCGATATGATTATATTGGGTATAAAGCATTACTCCACTAGTAACACTCCTCCAGTCTGCTATGTTGCTTTTGATTACCACCCTCATCTTTCTGTCAGTACATTTCATAGGGGAGCCGGTCGGCCGAGCGGACAACACACTGGACTTGTGATCCTGTGGTCCCGGGTTCGATCCCGGACGCCGGCAAGAAACAATGAGCAGAGTTTCTTTCACCCTATGCCCCTGTTACCTAGCAGTAAAATAGGTACCTGGGTGTTAGTCAGCTGTCACGGGCTGCTTCCTGGGGGTGGAGGCAAATCATCTCAAGATAACCTCAAGAAGGGGATTAGCATGCCTACCTTACATATTAACTATGTATTTTAACTTGCGTAATAACTATGTATTAAATTGCTCTGCCTTGCAAGCCAGAGCAACTGGATTAGGATGCTAGGTAAGGTAGGACAACTATTTATTCATATGAACTTAGATTGCATACTGGGAGAAAGAGGTAGTAAGAGGCTTTAACCACTGTACTGCGCAGAGCACCTTGTGGCGCTGGATCGAGGGTGCGCAGAGTGCCATGTGGCATTTTTAGGTATAGGGTGCAATTCAAAACTCCTGCGGGTACATGGGGGTTCACATCCTGTATCTCAAGACTCCTGTTAACAGATGCCTCTTGAAAAAAAATCATCAGTGCTGGCTGTGAGAGCCTTAGTACTGAAAGAGCAACTAAGGCTGGCACATGCAGGAGCCGCACACAGCACCGCTGTGCAGCTA